AAAAAAAAAAAAGTGGGTTTTATTTTGTGTTTTTTGTATTATCGTAGTAAGAATTATTTAATTTATTTGAGAAAAAATGCTTTATTTCATTTTATTTATGTATTAGTATGTTTTGTTGTGTCATGTGGGCTTGTCAGGAATCTCAAGAATCAAAGATTTTTGAAATCATAAAAAAATCCACGCATTTCAGTCATGGAGGTTTTATTTCTGCGCTTTTCTCAGGGATGTTTGTGAAGGTATGGAGCACCTGGAGTCAAAGAAACTCCTGCACCGAGATCTCGCCGGACGCAACATCCTCGTGTCTGAAGACACCGTTGCCAAAGTCAGCGATTTCGGTCTGGCCAAGGTCAGTTCAACGGCAACCGACAACTCAAAGTTACCCGTCAAGTGGACGGCGCCCGAAGCCTTGAAGAACAAGGTGAGAGAGACACATCACGAGATCGTTGATGATCCTCCCTAGTTCAAACTCAACCTGACCTCTCTGTTCCTGCAGAAGTTCTCCGCTCAGTCAGACGTTTGGAGCTACGGAGTCCTGCTGTGGGAGATCTTCTCATACGGCAAACAGCCGTATCCCAAAATAGTGCGTTTCTCACAGTAAATCTATGGTTTGCTCTCATCTTCCTGAAGGTGTGATGTTGTCTGCTGGTGTTTGTTGCAGCCGGTGAGCGAGGTGCGGGAGCGCGTGGATCAGGGTTACCGCATGGAGCCGCCGGACGAATGTCCTCCTGACGTCTACAGCATCATGACGTCCTGCTGGGAGCCGGAGCCCAAGAGGAGGCCGTCCTTCCACAAGCTCCGAGAGCGGCTGGAGAAAGAGCTCGGCAAACACTGACCTCACCTCACACGTGTATAAAGTAGATTTAATTTATTATTCATCGCACTGTATGAGTTTTTGTTGTGGTTTTATGTTTTTGAGTGAATCTTGAAAACACGCCGTTTCACCTCAAGTCAAATTAAACTTTCGCATGAAAGTAAAGCCTGTTTTTAGAATTTCGTTTTTTTTTT